AAAATCGATTCTTACAGCATAACAAACCATTAACCTAACTGTGATTAATAAGTGCCAGACTTGCTGCTTTGCTCTGGGGCAAAATGCTTGATTCTCATTTAAATGAGCTCCTCTCACTGTCCAACGTTCAGAAGTCCTCTCTCTACAGCCCAAGAATAGCGCCAACCTTTATGGGCTTGAGAAATAGCTACTATCGCCCATAAATCTCTAGCCTTGCTATTCATTCCCCCACAATTCACTGGAAAAAAATATGAAGTAAGCAAAAAGGAAAGAAATCCTTATTAAGGAATATAACAATAGGCCAAAGAAAAGCTCCTGGAGGCACGTACGTCCAGGACTGTGGAGCACAAAGGCTCATGTATAATAATTATCACACTAGCCCGCCAATTATACTTTTCAATTGAAGTACAAAATAGGCTAAAACAAGGTCCGTCATAATAGTTATTCCATTAAGTTTTAAATGAATTCTTTGTGGAAGGACACAACGAAGGCGATGATGGAGAAGAAGGTGGCGTATCTGAAAGCACATTCAGGCTGATTGGTTTTCCATTTTAAATCCATTTCCTGCCAAGTGCCTTTCCGTATTGTGGACTGATGATTCTGGATGAAGTTAGAGGAAAAGTATCCCTCTAAATATTCCGAATCACATCCACAGGTGAACTCCAAAAGTGCTTGGACAGATGATTGAATGGGATCTCTCAAAGGTAATGTAATACGAATGTGGAGCGCTCCAAGTTATGCTCTCCTTGGGGACGGGAGAACCATCCAGCAAGACTTTTCAAATTTGCGTGACCGGGAACCTCTTCATGTGGCCCTGCTGACCTCTAGCCTTCCTGTCAAGCATCCTTCAAGAACCTGGGCCTTTGTGTGGCTCTCCGCTCCAAACTTCCATCTTGTAGACCATCTATCCCAGATTGATCATAATATCCCAGCTTGACCAGCCAAGTTACCCCATTTTTTTTCCAAGGTGTACCTTTCCCGGGACTTGGGAAAACAGAAGTGGAGACAAGAATGGGGAGGTGAGGAGGGAGGGGAGGGGTACATCTTGAGGGAGATAGAGAGAGTGAGAAAGATGATTTATCTCTTCAGCTGGAGATGTGAACAGGGGAGGGAGCCAAGAAGGTTTCAGCAGGGCTTATAAAAAAAGCCTTGAGGGGTAATTTATGGGTCCGGTTGTGGACGTGTTAATGGAGCGGGCCGGGTGGAGAGGATCCATCTCTCCTGTATATGGGACAGTCCTCCCAATGGCCTGCTCTGCCTCATCCCCCCTCTCCTACATCTCTCCTCCTGGTTCCCCTCTAGAGCCCGAGCCTCCAGCATCTGTCTCCATCAGTGAGAGAACGCTGCCCAACATCAACAGAGGAGTGCGGGGACGTGAAGTGCACAACCACAGAAAAATTAACACCAAGATTAAATGAGGGGGAAGAGGAGTGAAAAGCTTTTAGGAAGTTTGGAATTATCAGTAAGTATGAAAAAGGCATCCAATCTGGCCATCTGGAACATGGGAGGCTTCCCGGTGGGCTAGTCATTCTGTTGGCTGCTTGGTCAACATATACACAGACAAAAGCTGAAAAAAAAATTAATAAAGAGTGACAAATATAAATGCTGGCATGTTTCCCCTTGGATACCCCAAGCCTCCAGCATTAATTTTAGACATTAATTATCATCCATTTTGTTTCCTCGTACGTGCACCTGTTGTTTGCTGGCTCACAAAAGGAAGCAAACAAACCCCCATTGACTGACAACTGAAAACCGTGCTGAATTAGGAAACAGCTATAGGCATGTCTATGGTATGGCATTTATCATAAACACAATGGAAGCAAAATGAAATGACAGTTAGGCTATTGCTTATATACTTACATTACTGTATTACATTCTAATTGTCATGCTTTCTTTTCCCTTAAGTTTGAGGTATCAACAGGGTGCAAGGTACAGACTCAAAAGTGCTGGGTAGTTCTTTTGGGAAGCATGACAGTAAGTTCCAAGACAGTTGAACTAAATTACACTGAAATGCTGAACAGGTTTTAGGCATTAACTGTAGTAATTGTGAGGTACAAACTCTAAAGCACTGCATAACCTTTTTAGATTATAGTTCAAAATGAAATGATGCAGATTCTAGCTATTTAGAAAAAACTGTAAAATGTCTTATAATTGGATTATTATTAAGGTGTAAATACTAACATACACTAACTTCCACTCTAATGACACATTGTTAAGCAGGGAAGTAAACTGTATGGGGGGAAAAAGGTGGTACAAAGACATAAGATACAAAGACTTATTGTAAGTACCTGTCTGGTATCTAGAAACAACTGATTAAAATAGAAAGAAACGATTCTTGCTACTGCTGTAGCAAGTCGCGGTACTCTGTCAAGAGTTTTATCATCGCATACAACAACAAAACACTAACGTTAGCCAGCTTATAGTCAGCTCCGAAGCCTGAGACTTAATATTAGTTAAATCTGATTGTCACTATGTGTCAAGAATGACGCACGATGTAGTGATGATATATCAATGATGGGGACTCCCAAGTGGTGCAACCGTCTAAGCGCTGGCCCTATCATCAGGAGATCGCAAGCATGATCCCTGGTGATGCTACAGCCATCCGTGGCCAGAATTACAACTGGCCTCACTCTCTGAGTGTGTAAGATGCCCCCCTCCCCCAATCACCCAGCACGATGCTAGTCAGCGCAGGCATCTGTTAGCTGACGTAACGGATCTGGCAGTTGGCGCTTCACAGGTCTCGGAGGAAGCCTGGTGGTGTCGTGTGATTGGGGGAGTCCTAACTAGTAGGTGGAATTGGATACGACTAAATTGGAGAGAAAATTGGGGGAAAAAAAAAAGGTTATCAGTCCTTTTGTTACAGTCCTAAATATCTACAGTTGTATGCAAAAGTTTGGGCACCCCTGGTCAAAAGACATATTTTTGTGGATTTAGTGAAAATAACTTAACACACACTCTGCAGAGAACACACTACAACGCCTGTTGTAAAAAGCGCTATATAAATAAACTTTGACTTGACATGACTTGAAATATAAGTGTAATATTTTCATGCAACTAAGCAAACATGTAAAATTTATGGTTTTTGTGTTACAATTGTATGACAACGTTTTGGCTCTAATATGGTAGACGTATAGAACAGTTTGTGAGTAAAACTATAAGTTATTTGCAGTTTAAAGCTTAAACGTTTGTGCACATAACTGTATATTATATATGTGCTTTTTTCTTGCTTTTGTGGCTGTTCAACTTCCACTCGACACTATTACTTCCACTACCGGAGGAAGTACACTAGACCCAAGAGTCTCTATGTAAGTGACAGTGTTATAATGAATGATTTGATAATCTTATTAACAAATGTGCTTAATAGATGTGTCTTTTAGGATGAAAAATTAGACAGCAGGCATGTCCACGTTCATATTTTGAAAAAAAAATCTTTAAATCTGGAACGACCTTTAACAAACGGCTTAAATATAGATAAAAATATCTCTCTTGGTTAGGAAATAAGCTCACGCTAAGCAGATGCAGTTTACCTCCCTCCATGTCTATTCTTAGCATACATTCATGCAGCTACAAAAAAAAAAAAAGCTCATGACTGAGAGGAATGAAATCCCTTCAGAGCAACACACCATTACACAGCATTTAATTCACAGCGAGATTGAAATCCATCTGATGTGAGTTTAACAAGCAAATAATGTGGTAGAATCGGGTATAAATGGGAATGAGTTGTTAAAGCAGTCAGTGTTTAATAGCTCTTATTCCTCACTTTACAGTCAGAGAGAGAAAGAGAGACGCAGAGAAAGGCAACACCACTGGTCCATCCTGCACATGTTTGCCAACAAAAAGAATAAGTGCAGAAAAACAGCAATCTTTTATCAAAGCCATAAAGCACTGGTTTAGTGGCTACAAGAAGACAGAAAAAGAGAGAGAAAGAGAGTGGAAGCGAGAGAGGGAGAGAAGGAATATATGCCGGTCTCTCATCACCGTAGCTAAACGCCTCCCTCTACCTCTCTTGCCTTTTCCCAAACCTAGTAAACATCATTAAAATGTCAGGGCCTATAAAACACTTTTATGAAGTAAGCCACCAATTTCACAAGCTTTGTATCTCTGGTACTAAAAAGTAAAGCAGATTTCTCTGGGTAGCGAGACTGAGGACAAATGAAAGAGATGCTGTAGAGAAACAGTCATTTGGATAAATCTTACGTTTTAAGTGGATGATTATGCTTATGCTTGGTGTGTTTTAGGGATGTAAACAGGTTCCTGGGATATACTTGGTTAACCGTTTAAGGTGCTAGCCGTCCAATACTGATATCATTACTGGGGTATTGGCTCTGTAAGTACGCTGGCGCAATATGGCTGCCGCTTTACATCAGTTTTCCGTTTGTTTGGTATTGTTTGTGTGTATGTTTTGATGTTTCCCTGCTGGCTGAGGAGTTTGCCATCATGTCTACTGAGATAATGGCCGAAAACGAAGGGGCTTTTTGGGCTAGCTGTTTGGGTGACAGCGCATCACAGCTGTGATGCAGCCTGGCTCGGCCGCTTGAGTGATGCTGTATCGTGGCTACGAGGCTCTCTGGACTGGGGACCTGATTGATGTGACATCGCAGCCTGGTTGACGCTGCACTGCAGCTGTGGGGCTGTCTGGACTGGTAGTGTTCAGCTGCATTAGCAGCGCTACGCTGCAGCTATGAGGCTTCTCGGGCCGGCTGCCTAAGTGACGCTACATCGCAGCTATGTGGCTGCCTCGGCCAGCCACTTGGACGATGCTACACCACAGTTGTAAGGCTGCCTGGACTGGTGGTGTTTGGCCACTGAAAAAACTACCCCTTCATGCCTCAGGACATTTTCGGCCTTCGAGGCTTCCCGGGCCGGACTCCTGTGTGATGCACCATCGTTGCAGTGTGAGACTTTCCCCCGCGGCTAAGAACTCTATCCAGGATAGCGAAGTGACTCTCCACCATGGTCAGTGAAATGCCCCCGCTAACTGTGAGAATTGCGGAGTGTGTGTGTGTGTGTGTGTGTGTGTGTGTGTGTTTGTTTTTATTACATGGTGGGGGCCGCAACACGTTAGCACACTCACAGTGTGGGGACCGAAAACATTGTGGGGACCAGTTTGCCGGTCCCCACAATGTTTTCAGCCAAAATGCGCCAGTTGACTCAGGAGACCATGCTGATATAGGTGGTGCAGTTTTTTTTTTGGACCCCACCATACGCAAAAACATGAGAAGTGTGTAAAAGCGTGCTTACACACATGCTCACCGATGCCCCCGGCGGTATCTTGGTGGTACTGCACCCTACCCTAAAAGTGTGCTTAGGATGCGGACCGTAAGCACACTTTCACTACTGCGCCTGCGCAACCCTGATACACGTCACTGAGTGCTGTGAACGCTGAATTAATCACTGCTACTACAAGGTAAACACAAATAAGACATATTAATGAAATAAATAGTTAGTTTTGTTAAACATATAAATATTACAATCAAGAAACCAAAACGTGAACAGTTTACAGTCAGATAAAAAATTATTGTCTCCTATTATATTGTATTGTAATATGCACTGCATTATAACAGTGAGTCAGTTAAAAGATAAACTACCAAAAGTTCCAAAGAAAATATAAAATATATAAGCATCAGCGTTATAAGGTCTTCAACATCGATACGTTCAGTATAATACATATATAAGTGTATATATAGTCAATTTTTAATGGTTTAAAGTACTCCGGTCGAACTTCTGGTCTAAGCTAATGTTATAACCTAATAGCTTTGTTTGTGTGCATACCGAGGTGAAGCTAAAATGGCGCCTGTAGTTTTTTCCGTTCTATATTGAATGGAACGAATGGGACTTGGAAGAACAAAAACTACACTTCCCATAATTCCCTCTGTCACGCCACGAAAGAGCTGAAGGATAGCTGCACTCAAGAAGCACCGATGTAAGGTAAGTTAAACTGGATTTTAAAACTCTTCATAGCTTAAATATATGCCTTTGCTCGCTAAGAGAAGGTTTTATGTTTGCTCTCGACTCAGTTTGTGTTATCTCGAGCAACTACAACATTTCAGGAGCTCATAACTCGTTAGCTAGCTAGCGTTAGTTAGCTCGATGCTAACGTGCTGTAAGACCCGCTGTTCGGTACCGTGAGGCGTTTTCAGTGATGTTTAGCTGTACAGGGTGAGAAAGTGGAGGACATTAGGCTGGGTTTGAGTAATTAGTGTTTTAAAAGGCTGAGAGTTCCGTGCGTGCGTAGTGGAGAGAGAGAAGGGGGGGCTGGAGAAGGGAGGGAGAAGGGAGAGAGAAGTGGGGCTGGTTAGCTGGATGTTAATGAGTAAGGTAAATTAAGCCGGATTTTAAAACTCTTCATAGCTTAAATATTTGCCTTTGCTCGCTAAGAGAAGGTTTTATGTTTGCTCTCGACTTAGACTCTGTGTTATCTCGAGCGACCACAACATTTCAGGAGCTCATAACTCGTTAGCTAGTTAGCTTGACGCTAACGCGCTGTAAGGCCCACTGTTTGGTAACGTGAGGCTTTTTCAGTGATATTTAGCTTTAGAGAGAGAGAGAGAGAGAGAGAGAGAGAGAGAGAGAGAGAGAGAGATTTGGTTGGTTTTGTGTAGTCAGAGGTTTAAAGGGCTGTGTGTTCCGTGCGTAGTGGAGAGAGAGAGAGAGGGAGAGAAGAGGGAGAGAAGGATGGCTGGTTAGCTGGATGGTAATGAGCTATAAGGCCCACTTTTGTAACCTCAAGCTTAGTTTGTATGTTTGTAGTTTAGGGAGAAAAGTGTGTTGGATATTTTATTGGTTTCATGTGATCAAAGTTTTTAAAAAGATGTATGTACATTTTAGAGAGAGAAAGCTGTGTGGAGATTATCTTATTAATCTAACTTAGTTGAAAAATATAGCAGGGTAAGACTCACTGTGCTTACCAGGTATTTTATTAATTCAAATAATCGGAGTATTAAAAGGGCTGTGGGTTTTGTGCGTGTGTGTGCACAGAGAGAGAGAGAAAACAGCTGTGGAGCTTAACTGGATGACAATTGACTGCAAGGTGGGGCTGAAATATTTGGTAAAATATCTGATTGCAGGTTGTTCTGAAAAAGATTGTATCTGCTATTTGATCTGTTACTGATTTCAGTAAATGGAAGGCATGTGTTGTGGCCAAAAGACCAGCACATCCATTTTTTTTGGCCGAGGCTTGAACTCTGAAAGTAGTGTGCCAACCTGCCAGTTAATGGTGATTGTGTTGTCCTGTAGAGGTGGTTCAAAAGCTCTGTGTTAGGTTCAATTTCTGCACTTATAAATTCTTAAGACAGTGTTGTTCATCATGTAGGCTATGATTATTATTGTAACTCTTTGTGATTTGAAAATCATTTAATCTTTCAGGTGTACTATAAGGCTCACTGCCTCGCTATATGTTTAGTTGTAGAGAGAGACAGACAGTTTTGGAGAGGGAGACAGTAAGACGTGTGGAAAGAAAGAGGGAGAGTGAGGCACTGATCTACATTTGAGCTCTAAATATAAGAAGAGCTAATTCACACAGTTGCATTTAGGTCTACACTTACAGTAAATGAATGAATTAAGTTTTAATAAAATAATATATTACAAGCATTGTTTTTTTTATGGTTAGAACTCTTTTCTTTGCACTGGCCTATTATCAAGACCTCTTACTGGTTTAATCTTGTCTTAAGAGTCATTCCATTTAGCTTCTTTTCAAAATCATTTTTTAAAATTTCATATGAAAAATGCAAATTCTTGGCCATACAAATGTTTTTGCTGTTCCATGTGGCCTTGCTTTGAGTATGATTTGTCAACCTTCTGCTTCAGATACTCTCAGTTGCAGGAGGAGAAGATAAAATGAGACGGAGGAGGGTGAAACCACTTGATGAAGCAGTTCAGCATGTCACCAGTGCAACTGACAAGACTGATGTATTGGAGAGTAAATTAGTAAACCCTTATAAAGGTGGGTCTGGTGCAGCCTTTCTTGTGGTGAAGCCTTCAAGCAGCAGTAAGAAGCATCAGTTCTCTATTGTTGTGGTTTTGCCTGCATATTTACATTAAAATAAAGAAAAAAATTCCTCTTGCCAAATGTTAGTCGTTTTGGGGGCATGCAACTAAAATACGAACCGTTCAGCTGTCCAGAACACAAGTGTATATAGTAGTAGACTAGTTGTTTGTACCAATGAAATGCAGGTGAAACTCAGCTTAATAGTGTTTATAAAATGTGGTTATTTGCTGCTAAATGTTAGTTATGTTTTGATACATTCATTTGAATATTTTTGTTTTATTATATTATCCACATTTGAATTGGCCACTCCCTGGTACAGTTCACTTTTCATTTGCGTGAGGTTAAAAAATTCTTTTCATCTATTTTGCTTGATTGCCACTTCCACAGTCCTCTGTGCTGAAGCTGGTTTATGTAATATTATGTACACTAAATTTAATGGTGGTGTATTAATTAAATTAGAAATTCAATTAGAAAGATGAATTGCCATACTGATACGATACATTTTAAAACAGTTAATCCACTGTCTTACAGTGCAGGATGTTTTTCTGTATCACAGCTGCTACAACATGCATATGATTTGTTTATCTTTATTTTACTTCTTTGACAGGTCGTGGTGTATTTGCCCTGGCTTCTTTGAATAAAGGAGATTTTGTGGTCGAATACAGAGGGGAACTGATAGACTTCCTTGAATCAGAGAGAAGGAGGAAGGTCTCCCGAATTACCGTATTTATGTTTGACTTCTTTTGGCAGAATAAACAGTGGTGGTAAGTTTCAGAGATTACATGTTAGTGATTATCATAGAAGGTATTTTGTAGAATATTTTTTTTGTCAAAAATTTAGCTTGTGGTTTTAAACTATTATTAACTATATGAAATGAAAATTTTGTAGTATTAGTATTAACTATACTAGATTATAGTTTGGATTTCAGTAGGGGTGGGCGATAAGGCCTTGAAATAATGTCAATATTTTGGGATATTTTTGCAGTAACAATATTAACTAAAGAAAGCTCTGAAATTATTTCTGTTCATTTGAAATACTTTATTATATTCTGCTGCAGATAGTGAACTCTTAAATACAAATTCCAATAAATGTGCACTAAATTAACCTTCAAAAAACTGACAGTGAGAGTGATGCCCTTACATGGTGGAGGCTGCATAACTTCTTATTGTCAACAAGTTAGCCAGTAAATATCTGTGCATATCTCTGCCACCATGCATCTGCTGAGAGAGTATTTAGCACTGTTTGCAATATTGTAGCTTTTGAAGCCAGCGTCAGGGAACATGCTTGTTTTCTTGGTAAATAAAGATAGCAAACCACCTGTCAGAGGAGTTCAAACAAACATCTCAAATGTTTTAACAGATTATTTTATTCTACAGCGACATTATGCCAAAAAATAGTCTAGTGTCATTGGCTGTGTGTTTCAAGGTCAGCACAGCATGGGTCAAAGTTCAGCAAATTTGAATTCAGTGCAGAAAAAACACTCCATAAAAATGAATGGACGAGGTGCATGTAAAACCTTTTTACCATTATAATGTTAACATACTTTAACATAGCAGTTAGCTTGGCAGAGCGTGACTCTGAGAGCACAGCATTTGCATATGCTCCAGCGATTGTTGCCTGAGAGGCTACCTTTAGTTTGTTGGTTTGAGAAACCTTTGCTCATGTGCTCTCAGACTCACGCAGTTTCTGACACTCCTCACACTCAAGTGAGTGTCTTTGCTTTAGGTGATGGAATAAATTGCCAGCTTTTGTGGTCACAGTATTTTTGCACGTTTTGCAAATTACTGTTGTTTGTTTGGCGTCTAACCATATGTAGCCAAAAAACTTCCACACTACTGACACATCTCCCCTTTTAAAAACTAAGTTGTCCTCAGTGCTAGTGATACTATTCTCTGTATCACTGGCCCTGTTTAGGCGCCATGAGCACAAGTCACGTGTGGTTACATCACAATAGCGGGATATGGCAAAATCCTATCGCATTTAAAAATATACCGGTGTTAGTATTATGTTGCCCACCCCTATATTTCGACAGTAGTGTTGTTAATGCTTATTGATTGTTGTGGCACTACTAACTATATGCAGTAATCTAATTCATACATAGAATACAATAAATGTATTTTTGTTTTTTTTTTTGTTTTTTTCATTTTTAAAGCGTTGATGCAACAAGAGAGGATGACACCCTTGGCCGACTAGTGAACGATGAGCACAAGGACCCCAACTGTAAAATGAAAAAGATCATTGTCCAGGGAAAACCGCATCTCTGCCTTTTTGCAATTAGAGATATAATGCCTGGAGAGGAAATAACCTACGACTATGGAGGAAGTGACTGGCCTTGGAGGAGAAAGGTTTGTAAGATGTGTTTGGAAAATATTTGAAATAGATTTTACTAGCTTAGCAGTATGATTGTCCTTTTAAAACCATGCCTTTTGGAAATGAAAGAGGTTTCAGGGTGCTTATCAGCATTTGAACAAAAGGTAACACTTTGAAAGCCCTTGCAACGTGTATTGCTGCCTTGAAATGGAGTGGAAGTTACATTTTCTAGAGATTAAATAGATTAGATAATCATTTAGATGATGGCTTAGCCTGAATTACATATTTTATAAGGATTTTGATGGAATCTTAGTGGAAACATTCAGTTGAGGTCATAAACATTAATCATCCACACTATTAATGCTATTAAAAATTATTAGCTGTTTAGTATGAGTCTTTAGTATGATAATATCAGTTGTTCTAAAGATTGTGGTTTTGTTTTTTTTATAAAGTCAAGTCAAGAGGCTTTTATTGTCATTCCATCTATGTACAAGTACACAGTGGAGCAAAATTACGTTCCTCCAGGAACAACACGGTGCAACAAGGAACAAAAAGTACAAAATTACAAAGTGTGAATGTGCATAGTGTGCAAACAAAAATTAAGCTAGAAACATACAATGAATACAATAAATTAAACAGACAGACACAGTAAACAGACTGGACAGTGTAGCACCGACACAGCACAGACTCTCAGGACAACAAAAAATGCTGTTTACAACTATAAGACAGGTGAATGACATTATTAGCTTAATAGTGTGGCATTTTTTGGTGTGGGTATTTGTTGTTAACAAATGCTCTTCAGTTCTAAATGTTTAACTGTGATATTTTGAAATCTCTGTAGTCTGCATGTAAGGATACTGCTAACATGAAGGACAATGTTGAACCAAGCCGCTCAGCTTCAGGTCCTGTGACCAATGCTGGAGCTTCCACTTCTGACCTAAAGGTATTTAAAAAAAAGTGTTTTTATATCCATAAAGTGATTGACATGTTTGCATTACAGTGTGTAGAAGATTGTTTCTTTAAAACTATTAGACAAGTGAATGACATTACTAGCCTAGTAATATGGCATTTCTGGTGTAGGTTATTGTCCTATTAGGTAGTTGTGAGTTGTGATGTGTAGGCTGTGTAGTTTGCATTACATGTACACTATTTGGTGTAGCCTGGGACAGCCTCATTTCTTTTGTATGAAATGCTGTTCAATTCTAAATGTTTAACTGTGATATTTGAAATCCCTGTAGCCTGCATGTAAGGACTCTGCTAACATGATGGATGTGGTTGAACCAAGCCGCTCAGCTTCAAGTCCTGTGACCAACTCTGGAGCTTCTTCTTCTGACTTAAAGGTATTTAAAAAAATGTTATGTCCATATAGTGAACAACTTGGTAGTTCTGTAGCTAATTATGGTCAATTAAATTTACTTCAGGACTGATTTCATTTGTTGTCTGGTATAAATTTGTGAGAGTTAATTGTTTTTAAGTGAGGCCTTAGGGATGGTATTAGCTACACATGCTCTCGGGTTTCGCATTGTGGGGACCCTCTCAGGATAGAAATGTTTGAATGGTTTTGGTTACACCCACTGTCATGTTTAGCATAGTGGGGACCACATCTAAGGAGAACCTTCCACTATAGCAGTGGACTCTCAGGACAACATATAGACAACATTTCTGAACTACAGTGTAGGTTACCCTATGATTAATGTCATTCAGGGTCTCATATGAACTGGTAATAGTTTTCTGTTTTTAAACAAGTGTTTAAGGTTGATATTGGTCACACACACTGTCAGGTCTGCCATAGTGGGGACCACGTCTAGGTAGAACCTTCCCCTATAGCAGTAGACTCACAGGACAATATGTATACTTTGTTTCTGAATTACAGTGTAGGTTACCTTATGACTAGTGTCATTCAGGGTCTCATAGGAAACTATTACCAGTTCATGTTTTTAAACAAATGTTTAAGGTTGATATAAGTCACACACACTGTCAGGTCTGCCATAGTGGGGACCACGTCTAGGTAGAACCTTGCACTATAGCAGTAGACTCACAGGACAATATGTAGACTTTGTTTCTGAATTACAGTGTAGGTTACCTTATGACTAGTGTCATTCAGGGTCTCATATGAACTGGTAATAGTTTCCTGTTTTTAAACAAGTGTTTAAGGTTGATATAAGTCACACACACTGTCAGGTCTTCCATAGTGGGGACCACGTCTAGGTAGAACCTTCCACTATAGCAGTAGACTCATAGGACAATATGTAGACTTTGTTTCTGAATTACAGTTTAAATGCCCTCATGAGCAATGTCATTCAGCGTCTGAAATGAAGTTGTTATAGTTTCCTCTTTGTACACGAGTCTGTAAGGTTGATATTGGTTACACACACTGTCAGGTTTAGTATAGTGGGGACCACGTCTAGTCAATGTGAACCAGCAGAGCAATGAACACACAGAAGAATATATGGTCTTTTGTTCTCAACAGCAGTTTGTCCTCTTTATAATTAATTTCTTTAAGGGTGTCATATGAATTTTTGATTCATATTAAGATTGATGTCATTTACACTCTGTCTTCTGTGACATGGTGGCTCCATGTCTGATTAACTTGACCCACTAAAGCAGCAGGCACTGATAAAACATGGTGTGAAATTCTGTATTGCGTTTTAAATACTGATGTACATGTATGTGAGGTTTATTGAAATGTTTAACTGTGATATTTGAAATCCCTTTAGCCTGCATGTGAGGACACTACTAACATGATGGACGACGTTGAACCATGCCACTCAGCTTCAAGTCCTGTGACCAACGCTGGAGCTTCCTCTTCTGACTTAAAGGTATTTAAAAAAGTGTAGACATACTTGCGTTACAGCATGTAATTACTGCATTGGTTTACACATGTATCAGTTGTTCGGAAGATTGTTTCTTTAGAACTATTAGACAAGTGAATGACTTTACTGCCTAGTAATACTGCATTTTTTGGTGCAAGTTATTGTCTTATTAGGTAGTTATGATGTGTAGACTGTGTAGTTTGCATTACATGTACACTATTTGGTGTAGCCTGGGACAGCCTCATTTCTTTTGTATGAAATGCTGTTCAATTCTAAATATTTAACTGTATTATTTGAAATCCCTGTAGCCTGCATGTAAGGACTCTGCTAACATGATGGACGTGGTTGAACCAAGCCGCTCAGCTTCAAGTCCTGTGACCAACTCTGGAACTTCTTCTGGCTTAAAGGTATTTAAAAAAATGTTTTTGTATGCACGTAGTGATTGAACTACTTGGTAGTTCTGCAGCTATTTATGGTCAATTGAAGTTACTTCAGGACTGATTTCATTTGTTGTCTGGTATACATTTGTGAGGGTTAATTGTTTTTAAGTGTGGCCTTAGGGATAGTATTAGTTACACGTGCTCTCAGGTTTCGCATTGTGGGGACCCTCTCAGGATAGAAATGTTTGAATGGTTTTAGTTACATTCACTGTCAGATTTAGCATAGTGGGGACCACATCTAGGTCAAGACTTCCACTAAAGGAGTAGACATACAGGACAACATATAGACAACATTTTTGAACTACAGTGTAGGTTACCTTATGACTGTCATTCAGGGTCTCATATGAACTGACAATTGTTTAAGGTTGATATTGGTCACACACACTGTCAGGTCTGCCATAGTGGGGTAGAACCTTGCACTATAGCATTAGACTCACAGGACAATATGTATACTTTGTTTCTGAATTACAGTTTAAATGCCCTCCTGAGCAATGTCATTCAACGTCTGAAATGAATTTGTAATAGTTTCCTCTTTGTACACGAGTCTGTAAGGTTGATATTGGTTACACACACTGTCAGGTCTGCCATAGTGGGGACCACGTCTAGGTAGAACCTTGCACTATAGCAGTAGACTCACAGGACAATATGTAGACTTTGTTTCTGAATTACAGTGTAGGTTACCTTATGACTAGTGTCATTCAGGGTCTCATATGAACTGGTAATAGTTTCCTGTTTTTAAACAAGTGTTTAAGGTTGATATAAGTCACACACACTGTCAGGTCTTCCATAGTGGGGACCACGTCTAGGTAGAACCTTCCACTATAGCAGTAGACTCATAGGACAATATGTAGACTTTGTTTCTGAATTACAGTTTAAATGCCCTCATGAGCAATGTCATTCAGCGTCTGAAATGAAGTTGTTATAGTTTCCTCTTTGTACACGAGTCTGTAAGGTTGATATTGGTTACACACACTGTCAGGTTTAGTATAGTGGGGACCACGTCTAGTCAATGTGAACCAGCAGAGCAATGAACACACAGAAGAATATATGGTCTTTTGTTCTCAACAGCAGTTTGTCCTCTTTATAATTAATTTCTTTAAGGGTGTCATATGAATTTTGATTCATATTAAGATTGATGTCATTTACACTCTGTCTTCTGTGACATGGTGGCTCCATGTCTGATTAACTTGACCCACTAAAGCAGCAGGCACTGATAAAACATGGTGTGAAATTCTGTATTGCATTTTAAATACTGATGTACATGTATGTGAGGTTTATTGAAATGTTTAACTGTGATATTTGAAATCCCTTTAGCCTGCATGTGAGGACACTACTAACATGATGGACGACGTTGAACCATGCCACTCAGCTTCAAGTCCTGTGACCAACGCTGGAGCTTCCTCTTCTGACTTAAAGGTATTTAAAAAAGTGTAGACATACTTGCGTTACAGCATGTAATTACTGCATTGGTTTACACATGTATCAGTTGTTCGGAAGATTGTTCTTTAGAACTATTAGACAAGTGAATGACTTTACTGGCCTAGTAATACTGCATTTTTTGGTGCAAGTTATTGTCTTATTAGGTAGTTATGATGTGTAGACTGTGTAGTTTGCATTACATGTACACTATTTGGTGTAGCCTGGGACAGCCTCATTTCTTTTGTATGAAATGCTGTTCAATTCTAAATATTTAACTGTATTATTTGAAATCCCTGTAGCCTGCATGTAAGGACTCTGCTAACATGATGGACGTGGTTGAACCAAGCCGCTCAGCTTCAAGTCCTGTGACCAACTCTGGAACTTCTTCTGGCTTAAAGGTATTAAAAAAATGTTTTTGTATGCACGTAGTGATTGAACTACTTGGTAGTTCTGCAGCTATTTATGGTCAATTGAAGTTACTTCAGGACTGATTTCATTTGTTGTCTGGTATACATTTGTGAGGGTTAATTGTTTTTAAGTGTGGCCTTAGGGATAGTATTAGTTACACGTGCTCTCAGGTTTCGCATTGTGGGGACCCTCTCAGGATAGAAATGTTTGAATGGTTTTAGTTACATTCACTGTCAGATTTAGCATAGTGGGGACCACATCTAGGTCAAGACTTCCACTAAAGGAGTAGACATACAGGACAACATATAGACAACATTTTTGAACTACAGTGTAGGTTACCTTATGACTGTCATTCAGGGTCTCATATGAACTGACAATTGTTTAAGGTTGATATTGGTCACACACACTGTCAGGTCTGCCATAGTGGGGTAGAACCTTGCACTATAGCATTAGACTCACAGGACAATATGTATACTTTGTTTCTGAATTACAGTTTAAATGCCCTCCTGAGCAATGTCATTCAACGTCTGAAATGAATTTGTAATAGTTTCCTCTTTGTACACGAGTCTGTAAGGTTGATATTGGTTACACACACTGTCAGGTCTGCCATAGTGGGGACCACGTCTAGGTAGAACCTTGCACTATAGCAGTAGACTCACAGGACAATATGTAGACTTTGTTTCTGAATTACAGTGTAGGTTACCTTATGACTAGTGTCATTCAGGGTCTCATATGAACTGGTAATAGTTTCCTGTTTTTAAACAAGTGTTTAAGGTTGATATAAGTCACACACACTGTCAGGTCTTCCATAGTGGGGACCACGTCTAGGTAGAACCTTGCACTATAGCAGTAGACTCACAGGACAATATGTAGACTTTGTTTCTGAATTACAGTGTAGGTTACCTTATGACTAGTGTCATTCAGGGTCCCATAGGAAACTATTACCAGTTCATGTTTTTAAACAAGTGTTTAAGGTTGATATAAGTCACACACACTGTCAGGTCTTCCATAGTGGGGACCACGTCTAGGTAGAACCTTGCACTATAGCAGTAGACTCATAGGACAATATGTAGACTTTGTTTCTG